ATAATATGTTGCACCTTGAAAGTGTCAGGTTGATGATCACCAACCGGGCACTAGTCTTTTAAAACTCTAATACTAATACCACAGTTACTACTGCTATGGGGATTGTGGTGGTAGTGCTCCTGAGCGATTTATGAATGTTGCATTTGAATGAAGAGTGATTACTAAAATCTATGAAGGCTATGGTAAACAAACACTTTATCAATCAAAGCAAGCGTTATCTTCTCGTCTGTTTTTGCTTTTGAAGATCACGTTTCGCCAAGTCCAGTTCCCGAAGAAAACCAGACGGATATCACGTTTGAAGTCATTTTGGATCGCAAGCCTGGACAATCACTTGGACTGACTTTGGTAGAAAAATCTTTGTGGCAGGATTCGGCGGAAAATGGTAAGTGAGTGACCAGTTAAGATTTATTATTGTCATTTTTCCAGTATAACCGAGTTAAGAGGTGCTGCTCTTCCCTTAAGAGAACTGGTGACCTGCAGAACCTCATTGCAATCCAGCAGAACAGACGTGGTATCCAGCTGGATGTCAACGAAATGGCTTACCCGCGCTGATGGATAGTAACAGGAAGAAGTGAACCTCCATTGTTAGGGCTCGAACCAGGACATTATCAGAGACCGGTAACGCCTGCTGAAAATGGTGGTAGAGACAAACATCACGATCGTCACAGATGCATCTATCATGTGAAATTTTTTTCTCGTAGATTGACCATTGTCCGTGTGTGGTGTAGGATGAATGCTCAGCAATTTTACACGATAATACAGTGGAATTAAGGGAAATGGCATTCGAGTGTGAATAGGTTAATTAAAAAGCGACAGGAAGACGACAGTGACAGATAAAAAAAGAATAAATAAACTAATTCAAGAGGTTTTCAACCAGATCTATAATAATAGGCGCCCAACTAACTAAAAACCGAGCAACAAAAGGGATGATGCTGTTTCCGTATGCGACGGTGTGTGCGGGAAGCAGCCTGTAATTGGAGGGGTTACGGGAGTTTGACATGGATTTAATAAGTTCCTTGTGCAGATAGTGATCTTCGTTCTTCAAGGTTCTGTCAGCTATTCTTTCACATACGTCGATATTTTCGCACACAATAAAACCAACCAATACATCGGTGACTATATCACTACACCGGGATGGACGTTTTATGGACCTGGAAATTAATACGAAATCTTTTTCTTTTAAGCCGGGAAAAATACAGGGTAACAGTACAGCCAATGACGGAAAATGCATCCACGCTACCACGAATTTGAAAATTACGTTTCGGGGAACAGCAAGCTTCCTAAGCCTGAAAGCATGAAAAGAAAGTTTACGAACCTTGTTGAAACGTTCTCTACATGTAAGGTCCAAGAGAGATTGTGGGATGAAACAACTCTGAGGTAGTTAACAGAATCAGCTTTGGGAATGTTGTGACTGTTAACTACTAGATCCGGTTATTCATTAAAGTTGGCTTGATAGCGGGAGCCAGATTTAAGGCTGAATGGAACGTTGACACATTTGGAAAGATTAAGCAAGAGTGATCGGGGTAGAGACCAACTAGAAATATCGTTCAGTCTGCTTTGAAGTTGGTGGAAAGAAGCATCAGTATTGGAGAGTCACCCAATCACCGCATATTTACAAACAATAAAATTGGTACCGCGGTGCGTGAGTATTCGTTGCACGATCACCACAGAGAGACATCGGTGTAAGATCACAAACAAACTCTAAGGAAAAAGATGAGAAAGGCCTTCATGTTTATACTGTCCTATTCGGCGCGCTTACATCCATTTTATAGCACATATTTCTTCCCATATCTCGATTGTCTCCAGGCATTTTTGTCGGAGTTTATAAGAAAATAACAGATTGCGAATGAGTATTGCAGGACTGAATTCAATTTCAAACGTTTCCAATCGAGTTATAACCTACAGAGGCTAGTGCTGAGATGAGAGAGGTCCGTGGCCTGCAACAGGCTCACAAAGATGGATTGTGCTATATCGTATGAATTCAAAATGAGAAACGGTCTGATCAGCTACCCGAGGGTGGCCGTGTGGGTAGTATGATTGCGTTCTATCTGTGAAGTTCCAGGTTCGAGCCCCAGTTGGATTTGCACTGCTGATGAGGTCCAATCAAGTAAAATCAGCTATCCAGTAGTGCTTCCTAGCTTTTTAGTTCGTGCTTTACTTGCTCTGTACACGATTGATTCCCCTTTGAAAATAACAGGTGACAAAATATTCAAGTGAAAGAATCAAATCCTAGCTGGCTGACATTTAAATACCTTACCACCCCTAGGCATGCTGCTATCTTTGCGTCACGATCTGTTCGTCGTGTAGTGTGTACTACATTGTACTGTACTGTTTTGGTTTTTCTCATGTTTTTTATCACACAGCTAGTCCATCGAGAAAAAGACGGTCAGGAATTTTCATCAAACATCTCGTACCTGGTGGACTTGCTGATCGTTCCGGTTTGTTACGAGTAAACGATCAGTTGCTCACAATCAACTCAGTCAGTGTGCTTTCCTGTGACACGGACCAGAACGGTGGGGATAGAACACATTCGGTACAATGGCCCCAATCAACCCAATTCGATTGCACATTCGATTTTCCAAGCACTCAACTGCCATCCGCTTGGATCAATCCTGTTCGAAGCGGCACAAATCCAAAATCTGGTTTGAATATCAGTACTATATCGAACGGTTCCATGATGTATCCGTTTGCGGTGCGATTACTGCGCCAAGCAATTGGTCCGGTTCGTTTGGGAATGAAACGAGGAACCACACAAAAACAAAACTCAGGTTAGATTCATAAACCACTGATCGGTTGGTTTTTTATTCACTTACTGGTAAGGTTAATTCCCCGGATTTATAAACGGATTTTTGAGCCAAAATCCCTAATTTTAGTTTACTTATCCCGAGAAAAAAGAAACAAAGGAAATTTAAACTAAGAATTTGAGATGTAAACCTTTGTGATGACCGACACAGAGTATTGCATAGGTGTTTCGTCCATTGATGAAGAACACCCAATGTGAGCTTCCCTATCTGGGGCCATTCCCCTCATTGTAAATGAATCAGTTTACAATTATAGTATCACAGACTGTTGAAGCCTGGTCAAAATCAAACCAGTCCCCAAAGCACCCAAATATTTTATCCCCTTCAAACGTTTTCGTCTCATACTGTTAACATCCTTAACTCTTAAGTAGACTGAAAACGGTCTCCTTAAATGCCTTCAGCAGTCTATAAACATTCCGCGAAATACGTCCATTGATTAAGAACATCCAATGTAGGCGAACATATGTTTTCGGTGAATTGCTTTTCAAGCTTTTACAGTCAAATTTATATGAAGCAATTTCAACGGGATCAAAACAGAAAGGTGGATGAGTCATGGGCTTGGCACCAAGCTCGACAGAAATCCAAATTTATGCGCTGTTTGGATCACGTAACCGATGTCGCTATGTTACGTCATAGTCTTGTGAACAAGCTATTTTCTCTTCCTTTGGCCAGTAGAGTTTGAATCAATTTTCGTTGTGCACACAGCTCAAGCTTCATGAGTCGAATGCTGATTAACTCTGCAGTTGGTAACGTCCGAGGGGTGTGGTGGGACTCGATAAATGATTGTAAATGCCGAGAGCATGTCAACTAAGTGTCCCGTCTCTACCATATGAGCAACGATCGAGCTTAATAATTATAATTATAATCTCTTTTAGTTCCCTTTTTACTTATTGAATATAAAAAAATGTACAATCAACTTTCAGGAAAAGAGCTGCGGCCATACCAAGGCTGCCTGTGGAAAGTACAGATTTGGGGAAGACGTGCCGCGTTGGAACTTGACACAACTTCACTCCCATCCTGTGTGAGCCGGCGTGGATTGTGTTCTTTGATCCGTTGAGATGATTGCCTTGTCGTCCCATCGCATTTAAATGCATTTACCTCGTGGGTATTAAACGATCTTCCATGGAATAAAACCTACACCCAAGATGTACAGCGCCAGATGCTTGTGAAAAACCGAGGGGGTTAACCCAAACATTCGCTGTCTGAGTAAGAATTTAGGAATTTATGTAACACTTGTATTTCAGTCATAGAAATCACATTCCCTACCGGTTACTGAGCATTACCATACCGAGGTGCAAAAACAAACTACTGATTTGGGGGTTAGTTTATTGGAAGAAATCGAATTGAATGGAAAAAATAGGAAGAGAAAAAGGGCAGTAAATAATATATTTTTTCAATAACTACCGAGACACATGGTGCTGATTTGTCCCTTGATTGAATCACCAAATGCAAATCGACATTCGTATTTGCATGCTTGGGTCATTTTGATTGGACTGAATCACGCATTTCCCGTTGGTTGCCTGGATGCTGTTTTAAATGTACGAAGCACGATTTCTATTTACACAATGACATCCTGGACTCTAATACTGGTCTACTATTTGTATACTTTGATTAAAAAAAACATTGCAGTTTTGCAGGTGTATAATGGATATTTCCGAGATGGAGAAAAAAGAATATTTCCGGAATGGGAAAAGATTTAACGCACTCTGAATGAACTAGATCTGACCAAGTAAATAATGTAAAACATTTATTTGCATTACACTGATGGGCTACTCACATTATGTGAGTAGTATTTTTTATGCACACAATAAAGCAGTTAGAGGGTTAGGGTTTCTTACGATCCCTCGGAGCGGAATAATGCATCCCGTAGTTTGCAGTATGCCAAATGACGGTTGAATTGCTTGAGCACTAATGCGGAGTCCTTAATTAAAACCTGAATTGTTAGTTTCAGGTGCCCCCTTCTCCGGTATCACATTGGCAGGTTTAAAACAGCAGTGGCTATACTGTTATTCTATTGTAGCTGTCGAACCAAATGAAAGGGAATTCGCTCACTTCCGTAATAGTTTGTACACGGGTTTCAGGCGAAGTATTTATACAGTGCTCATATAGGGTGCAGAAATTTTGTCATTACAAGAACAGGATGAAATTCAACCCACGGTGCTGGAACACCGTTGTCTACATCGCATTACACGAATAGAGTGGGGTAACCGGACAAGCAATGCTGAGGTTAGGCGTAGAGTTTTAGGTAAGTGCGGTCGCCCACTGAAGCAAGTGCTCGCCTACATTGACTACGGTGATTGGTACATGTGCTGCGCATGTCAACGAATAGGTTGCCATGACGATAAATATTTGCCGAGGCAGGTGGCGGTTGGCAAAAGGCAAAAGGTGGCCAAACTAAGACGTGGTACGAGGGTATGAAAGTTGTAACCATGAGACTGAATCATATAGGTCCCGTTAGGCTGCCTAGTTGGAGACCCGGGGGATCATGGTAACCGGAGGTTTGAGACACCGGGTGATGTGGCTGATTTCGTCTCTCTCACAAACACTAGAATGTAAATTTTATAATAAATATCGTAGACACGGAGTGTATAAAAAAGAGCTTCAATAGGTCAACCGTGTGATCAGTTAAACAGAACAGGTGATTTTTTCATTTAAAATGTCGAGTTCACTCTGGGTCATTGAAAATATACAGCAATACAGATTGGTTTTTCCAGTCCTCCTCTGATAATGTGCAGGTGGCAGAGGATATAGTTGTTCAAGATGATAATGTGGATAAATCTCTGGGTTCTCTTGATCACACATAATAGCACGTATTTTTGAATGTTGTGCTTCAAACCAGACCAGCAGAACATCACGGACCAGACCATAGTAGATGTGGAACCGGAAACCACAGAAATGTTGCCCATCACCTCCATGTGTGACGAGAGTGGGATCTCTCAGTCCGTCACACAAAATCTGTTCAACAACCAGCAACCCGGATCGGTGAGCCAATCCGACTTGGTATTGTTCCCGGACAGGACTAAGACACCGGAAAATATACTCTCCCAGGAACAGTCTGCTGACTCGACTAGACGCGCAAGTTCTCCACTTGAAAGTGAGTATGATTTATCTATATCTATCTATCTATCTATCTATCTATCTATCTATCTATCTATCTATCTGTGTATATATATATACAGGTGTTAACCAAACTCGTGCAACATCACCCTCATTTTGGAAACCCATTCCAGCTTGCAATATCACATTTATATAAAGATGGCTGAGTAAAGTGTATTTGTTCCTGAATTTATCTCCGACATCAGTTTAGTTTTTTTGTCAACGTTCGAATTTGCGTAACCTTGAGTGTCGTGATAAATTCGTAGTAGTTCAAAGTTGCAGCTCTGATTAGGAAAATATCTGAGGCAAAGCAGCATGAAAATTCATTCTTTTTATTAGATGATTCCTGTCTTATGAGAGTGTTAATTAAGTTGAGCACACGTATTCTAAATTTCTAATCTCTTTTCATTCAATGCATAATGAATAAGCATTTTAATGAAAATATTTTTGCCTAAATAAACTGCTAAATTATTTGGCTACAAACTACTCATGCATTATCTACAATACTGGAAGAACTGAAAATATAGTCCAAGAAACATACAAGTTGTTCTTCGGCTAGTTGAATAAGCGTTCTGTAGTGCCACCATGCCCAAACCGGATCAAACTTTCCAAAGTTTTTGGCGTATAATTAAAGCTGAGGCAACTTAAACGAGAGGTGCTTGAATCCAATGATTCAGTTTGTGTCTTGTGGAAGTGCGTTGATGTGAACATAAATCCAATTTATAACATATTCAACGAAATTTCTCCACCGAGACATGAACCGAGAGGGAGAAAACCGGCCATAGCAAAGTAAGATGATAGTTTTATTTGATCGCAGTAGAGAAGAGTTGCACAAAACCAATCGGGAGGATAGTCCGGGCCGAGTAGCCATTTTCCCCCCAGGCTTTCGTTTGAAAAATGATGGCTCAATTTAAAATGCAGCTGAGGCCAAGTGATACAAAGCCGTTATTGGATGCCCAGCAAAGCATAGCGCGTATTGATTTTACCAACACATTCAAATCGCTTCGCCCGTCCATTTGGCGTTTGGTTTATCTCACTAGTGGCCAAGGTGTAATCCAGCATGTGAAAGATGATCTACTGAGCTAGTTTTCGAATGAATTTCTTTTTACCTGTCAAAAGAAATAAATATCTATCCCACCTAACGAGTTCGAAGGCAAGGGATTATTGGGCGCATTGTTGTAGGTCTTCTGCATACGCCATTATGGACATAGCAAAATTTCCTGAACCGATAAAGGAGGTTTTTAATAATTATCACTCCCAAAATGCATTCGCGAAGTCATATTTTTACATATCAAGGTTAGTATATCAGTTCGCTTGAGGTTAGTGGTAGAAAACGGTTAGACTTAAATAAATATTATTTTTCTTATTTATGCAGTTTCTAGAGGGGTCAAGTTCAATGTCAACTTCGTTCAGTTACCGCGCAAAAGCTAGGATTTTAATTTAATCAAAAACTTTCCCCTTTGTCAGAAACGGGGATAACTTAGCTACCTTGCCATTGGTCGCCAGTGGTAAGGGTGTGCGGTGTATTAGACTAAACTTGCAAATTATGTTCGGCAGTCAGTTTGGTGGATTCCATGCTAAAGCGACTGCCTCCAGTGCTCAAAAATGACCAAGAGCAAATGGAACATGGACGAGATGAAAGTACAATACCTATACGAAGTCTATGAATCATTTTAATAAACAAATTGCAGTTACGTTTTGTACTGTGACTTTATTATTTAACAACTGATGCACCAATAACCGTCGTCGAAATCGTGAAATTGTACATTTTAATGGCATGTGGCTAATAGAAGCAGTGACACTAGTTGGTATTATGTCAGATATGTTGCGTTTGAGGTGGGACAATATCATATTCAATCCCGTGAATGAGGCTGGAA